TCTCCTCTCAGTCAGATAGTATCACACAGTCAGATAGCAGTAAAGGCTGCTTTAGTGCAAATGAAGATTAAAATGGTAGCTAGAATAAGGTCATACTTGGATTCTTTTCTTCCATAAAACCCTATCAATTTTGCAATACTTGCTAAGTTTCAAACTAAAGGGAAGAAATAACATTGGAAAAAGTATATTTGTCAGTTCATATGTCTACATCTTTCTCCTTTTAATGGCCTAGTTCATTTAAATTGATGAGAAAGGTCTTATGGTTTTACATATATTACTGGGATTTGATGGTTACAGAGTCTTGTCCAGAAACTAGAAGTATACTACAGCCATCAACTAACAGTTTGCAAAACCAAGAGATAGAATAAAATAAATAGCTCACAAATTAAACTTGTATTTGAGTTGTACAGCCTGTTAGACTGTTGCAACTGTAGTCATGTTTTTGCCCACCTGAACTGTACTTGCACAAAACATCTGGATATGACAACGAAACTTGGAAGGTTAAACATATAAAATCCCATTTACTTTTCTAGAGATTGTTTCTGATTTTTTTCTTCATGAAAAGTAATCTGTATACTCCAATACTTACTAATCAAAAAGAAATAAAAGCGATAGCTTATTAACAGTCAGTTACTGAAGAATTCAGTACATAATATGTTATTATTCTCTGTGAAAGTAAAAATAGATTTCTTACATTTTCCTGCACAACTGCAGTTTTGAAAAACATTTTTTCTAATATACTAATTTCAAGAAATTCATTTACACATTGAGAAGTGTGAAATCCTGTTAATGTCAAAAAATATTTAGAAGCAGTTTTGTAGTGATAAAATAAATACGTTAGGTTCCTAAGCTTGTGATCAAGTCAAGCTTCAAGCATAACACAACAAAATCGCTCTAATAGCCTAGTATCTTCTAATTCACATTGTATATAAAAATTTAACTATTCCTGAAACTACTGTATATGAAAAACACTAGTGAAGTGGTTCTATAAAACAGAGTTCTTAGACTAAACTTCCTCATTATTCAACTGTGTCTTATACATGGAAAATAATTAATTTACATGGCCTTTTAAACCAAACTGTGTGGCTTATGATTCATATACATATTTGACAACTGATGTGTTTTCAGTTGTGAGTCAGATAAGTGCTCCAAGTTTGTTGGCTAAAAGGCCAAACCAGCATGTTTTCTCTTTTTTAAAGTTGTCCTAATACCTAAGAGCAGAGAGAATTATGTGTATAATAAAACATGCTTCTCAAAGACAGTGAGAGAACCTGTGAAAAGTAGCATGGCACAGTATTTTCTTCTTATTCACCAAACCAACCATCGACTGTAAAAACCACACAGGAGTTACAATGCCGGATACCATCCCCCATGCAGAAGATTCTCAAATGCTACAACTTACCGATTCCTTTTGTGTAAAAGGCTCTGTACACATAGCACCAAATTTCAATATTTTGCAAACATGATGTCTTTGTTTTTTGGTGTGTTTTAGGACAGAAACACCAGAGAAAGGATCTCTAACATTTATGATCGTGGACTAACAGGCTGAAAAAACCCTGGATTGTCGGCACAACCTACACAGAAATATGTACAAACCCTATTTTTAGAATTTTACTTGGCACCCACAAGGCAATAAAGGTGTATGCAAATCTAAGGGTAAGCAAGGAGGTGCACAAAGAGATTCTTTTTTAATCATCGGTCCTGGGCCGCTGGACTAAAAGAAGCAACACTTGATAATAGGCACGTAGGGGACACTTGACACTGTGAAGCTGCTGGAAATTTGGAAGAATCTTGTGGAAATAGCACCTGTGAGCATCACTGAAACCTCTTTCCATACAGGAGCTGAAGGAGAAGAACTGGAGAGCTACAGTAGGCATGGAGACAGGGAGAAGAGAGAAAAGGGCTGCTCCAGATGTATTGCTATGCTTCAGAAATTAGCACTGTTTGGCTTTGGTGATTCTTCCCTTGGCTATTTGGTCTGGTTTTCCTGCAGAATTATGTAGTAGTGATAAAAAAAAGGTTGGTGGGAGATAGAAATTTCTCCTTCCATTACTTAGAACACCCTGGACTGAGAAGAGCACAGTGCCTGGTTGTGAGCACTCACATTTGTTTTTAATATATTTTTTGTTTTTCAGTGTTTTTTAGCTACTGTTGAACAAAAAAAACACACAGGCATAGTTATTGCTAAGAAGAATTGCACTCTGAAGTCTTATTTAAAGAGTGTAAGAAGAGTTTTCATCACAGTCTGGAACATGAGTGTCAAGGAGCACTTTCTTTTTCACATGTACAATTCCTACATCCTACACATATGGTGGTAATGAGTAAAGGTACTCAAATACTTGAGCTATACCAGTAAAATAAAAAAAGCAAGGGCACGGGCTCGAGCACAGTCCCACAGTTGTCTGTACTGTCTAATTATGAGCATAATTCCTGGCATGATTTTAGGCAGTGCCCGCACTTTGCCCAGCCAGAGAACAGGCTTTCTCAGTTTACTAGCATAAGTGAAGCCCCACAGTTTGGCAGGGAACACTGGAATAAGAGTAAGCCTATGGCATGTCAAATGGAATTTCTTCCTAAAGAGGTTTTGAAAAGGAAGTAATTTGAAAAGTCGTTGGTCTTTTGAAACTAGGCCCTTGCTACCATTAGATAAATCTTTTCCCTAACCCTGCCATGACAGAACTTAGATTTCTTTTTTTTGTTCCTGTCATTCCCACTGGAAGGATGTTCCAGAACATGACAATTAATGCAGCCCTTGTCAAGCCCATTTATAACCTGATCCTATATTAGACAACATACAGCACCATGTTGCAGAAGCTCTGCTTCTGATTCCCTAAGGTCTGCTTTTCGCTGCTGATCTCTGAGCTCTTCTGAAACTACCGACTGGGAAACAGTGCTCCAGTAGTTAACTTCCTTGTGACTTCCACCTTTGGCGTAAAGTGTTCTCTTCCCTCCTGTTTGTTTTACCCTAATAATATACCTGCATTCAGCAATCATACTCTCTTCCAGCCTTTGCTTCTCTAAGCTTAATACAAGCATTGCTAACACAGAACAGATGTACATATCTATCTGAGAGTTTTGAGTATATTTTGAAAACACCCCCTCCTCCCCTACATTTTCATCCTGTGTTAGCTGTTGGAGAGCTCTGGGAGAGTTCCCTGACAGCTGCTGGAAAGCCAGACCAGCTGAATGCCCTGATAAAGTATGTATGATAGCTCGGCGTTAGGTAAAATGTGGAATGTTTTTAGAAGTGCTGAACTGTGTAAAAAACTTCTATTACCGTCACAAGATTCTCCTGAATTTTGGCTGTTTGTTGTTCTAATCAGTGTTTAAAAATGTCTAGCAAAAATTTCATCCTGGCACAGGCCCAGGCCCATCCTTTTCTATGAATGTTAAAACATACTCACACTCAGGTCCATTGACCTGTGGAGGAATAAGGCTGGGACAACTCCAGTGCAGTGCGTTTGCAATTCCCCTTGGATGTAGGAACAGAGAGAATGACAGAGCCAAGGCCAAGATTACAGAGCTAGCTGTGTGACTGCTCCCTGGCCTTCAGCTTGCCACTCACAGAACTTCCAAAATTCTTGTGATATGCATCTGTCTGTAGTATCTCTGTGCCCAGGTGCCTCATGCATGTTCTTGCCAGGCCTAATTTGCAACTTGCCTGTTCATGCTGATTGGTTTTGCATAGGCATCATCCTGGGCATGAAGGAAAGCACAGGCCACTGCATGCATGCATGCAAGTGGTCCTTTTAAAATCTGGCTTATTTAAAACAGACCTAATTTAGCCATAAGTCACAGAGTTATGTGTCTAACAGTAAGGAAAAGCTTCACCCAAGAGACAGGTAAGATCCACTCACTATCCTTATCAATGGGCCATGTCCCAGAGAGTGCAGATACCTGAAACAGAGTTAACAGTGAAGTTCACTTCAAGAGCCAGTCTATCACAGAACTGAGAAACCTGCCAGGAAGGCGGCTACGAGTTTCCCTGCCACAGCTGGAAAACAACATTGCTCAACTCATTGATAAGGACCTGCTTCTGCCAAGCATGCTGTGAAGGAGGATATAGTTCTGGCTCACTAGCTAGACAAGATGAAATAGAGATGAGGAAGAGATAAGCCTAAGGGACTGCCACAGGAGTAAGCAAAGCTAGCTGCCTCACTTCTCATCAGTTATACTGCAATAGTGTATATTTCTGGTTTTATAGTAAGGGCTAACTCATGGGATCAATATTTTCCCCCAAGTCATATCCAGGTAAATGCACTAAAGTCATGCCAGGGAATAACTTTTATGGATTTAAAAAATTTCTTTTTTTTTTTTTTTCCCCAGTACAGTATTAAAAAAATAAAAGCTTCTTTTTCAAAATACTGAAAATATATTTTAGTTAAGGTAAAAATACTAAATATAAAATTTTAATGTAATATTTAAAATAACTGTGCTATAAAGGCATGTGAATTGCTTAGATATTTTGACATTCAATAAAGGCACATTAATCTTACTAAAGAAGCATGTGCCAGTAAACCCACATGGTGGTTTAGGAGAGAAGCTCATGCATTTCTGCATAGAAAACAAGTCTGCTTAATAAATGACATCTGAGGGACTTTGAGACGGTAATGTTTGTGCGCTTGTGATGCGTGGGGGGGTGTTGCAGGTAAGGCAGCACAGTATACAGCATTCAGCACAAATACCCATCTGTGCTTATTACAGCTATAGGATTCTCTGCTTCTGAACTGGAAATATTTTTTCTCTTTTCCTGTTTGGCTGATAATCAGAACATGTTGAAGGTGAAAAACTGTATTGATATTCATTGGCTCTGCTCATGTCGCTGAGCTGCATATCAGAAAATTTGGAATGAGATAAGGAAAATGTACGTTTCCATGGGGAGAACGGTGGGTTAGATGATGGGATAGAGTGTGTTTGGATTTCAACAGAAACTGACCATTTGGAAACCCAAAGAGTCTTTAAGAACAGGACTCCAGAAGGTTGCTAAAACCCTTAGTATTTTTTGTAACATGCACACAAACGTAGCTAGATAGTAACTCGTTTGTGTATGAAAAAACCTAAAAGTTGAGACATTTATTATGATCACAATCATCACTGTTATTTTTATAGAGCAATGAAATGATAAAATAATCCATCCAAGTTTTCAAGTGGGGAAGCACCTGCACATACGCAATGAATGAACAGTAGCTGGATGTATTAATGCACGTATCAGTTAACCGCAGGTCGCAGAGATCTGATATTTCAATGCCATTCTTTAAATATCACTGTAAAAGATCATATAATAATAATAATAATTAAAAAAAAAAGTACCAAATCATGCTTCAGCAGCTAAAGAGAGTGAGATTGCATCATGTTTTGGCAGTGACTTGATCATCTTACTCCACACTGGCAGCGTTCAATATTAGAAGGATAAAATGGCAGCAAAACCGATCAGCAGCTTCTCTTCGTCTGGAGTTTTCCCAGGTAGATAAACAAAACAAAAACAAAACATAAAGCTGCAATGGGAGTAGGTCAAAGCCCTGGCCCTTGTGTTGCTCTGATGAAAGTAAACTAGATTGATTTCCTTGGATAAGCACATCACAATCCCAAAATAAAAGATAAGTGCATAAAACCTCCAAATAATGATCTTCACTAGAACAGCTATGTGGTTTGTATGGGACAGTGGCCATGTCAGCTACACGTCTTGTTCATTTATGGTTCATCTTCAGTCAGCATTATGATGCATTCACCTCACTGGAGTTTTGGCTGGATGACATGTGAGAGTCCAGATTCTCCTTGCATTTCTCCAGATCATGGAAATATGGGTGAGAGAGGGCAACATAGGCAGATATTCTCTTGGCTGGATTGAACGCTAAGCATTTCTGTAAGTATGAAAAGAAGTTGGTTTTACTAAAATGTACAGATAACAGTGCTAACATTGCCTATATACATTAATGCATGCTACCTGCAATTTATGACCAGAACACAACAGGGTCACAGTAAGTGCTGCACGGTAAGATGATCATCCATATTAAAACAAGCAGTGGGGTCTTAGTATATTAATATGGCATCCCCAAAGCTAATAGGAAATAATAAATTAAAAAATTTAAGCATTCATAGTTCAGGAAATCTTAGAATTCAGTTTTTCTTGAATTCACATGCACAAGACATCTGTCTCAGACTGCAGCAAGCAACTATTCCTGAACAACTTTTGAATCCCCTCAGTGTTCAATACACTGTTCTTTTGTGGTTATGCAAACATGGACAGCATCATAAGGTATATGTTAATTTCTAGGCTCAGCATTTCTATAGGTGTTGGGTCTTTGACTTTAGAGCCTCTGTATGCTAATGTTTTGCGTTCAGTCTCTCCCTCTTATTCCTAGTTGTACTTTGCTTGCCTTCTTTCCAGATCCTTATCCCAGCCTTTATCCAACCAGCACTGAAATCTCTCCTATAGACTTGCATTTTATAAATTGTTCTTCTCCTTTCCTTCATTCACCTCCAAATAATATTCTTCCTACTATGCTTGTCTAACCACTTCCTACTCTTACTTTCTTGTCTTGTATCAGAATTTCTATCATTTAGCATTTGAAATTTAATTCAGTGACTTCCAGTCCTACTCTCAGCTTTCACCTATGGCTCCCAGTGATCAACTCTTTGCCTAACAGCAACAGCTTCCCTTCCCACCTCACTTCCTAGGCATAGATACTTGCTGTCTTCCTCCCTCCCATCATGCCACATGCTCACTGAGCTCTCTGCCATGTTTTATTCCTTGTTCCCTGAACCTAATTCTTGTTCCACATCTAGCTTCCATTTTCAGGCTGCCTGCAAGTACAACAGATGAGTTTCTCCTGTCATTTCAAGTGTCCAGATGTAGTCCAGCTTCCCAAACCTGTAAGCTGCAGTCATAAAGACAACAGATGACAATCTGCTGTTCTGTAGAGATAATGTTGCTCATAGACAGCAGCTCCTGAAGGGATGCAGCAAGTCTTCCAAGAGTTGCACTGAGCATACTCTGCTGAACACATGTGAACCAAGATCATTTAAAGGCTTCCAGAGGACAAATTCAGCTACATTTCAACAAGCATGGCAAAAGGCAAACTGAAGCAACGCTATTCCCTATATTCCATTCCAAGACTGAATTTCCCGTCTGGAGTTTATAACATATCTATAAAAATGATGGAAATAATTTAATTTGGTTTGGTGTTACCAGATTACTAGCACAATTTGCTTGCTTCTGTTCAATCCAGTCATTTGTTAAGAGGCAACAACTGGTGAATTCCGAACCTCATGTTTTCAGCATTCAGTAGAAGGCATGCAGATGTAGTCTGCCTCCACAGCCTGTTTTCTGCTTTACACTGGGCCCACTATACCATGAAAAATGGTAGATCATTTTCTATACTCACGTCAGGCTTATAATACTATAAGAATGTCTGAATCAGTGGCACAACAGTGCTCACTGGTTGGATCTAGCGAGGATCTATGCGTAAGGTCTAAAGACAGGTCAAACAGGTTCTTCCCTGACACAGTTTCCTAGACTTTTAAGCAATCTTAGCTCTGAGATCTCTTGAGTCAAAGGTGGTGTTTTTGTGATGATGTTTCACAGATTTACATGAATCTGTCTACCTCCTTTTGAGCTTTTCTTTAGTAACTCCACTAAATGGAAACATAAATGTTTTTGGCATGCTGCATGCACAGTGGGAACTATCAGTCATGCGGCCAGGAGAATAAAAAGAGAAACTCACAAGAAGCAAGTCTTTGCCCAGGTCATCAATATCTGGTACAAATTTTTCAATAGGTTGTGCAGGTCTGGAAGTGAAAGCATTTCTTGGAAGGGCAACGTCATTAGGCCAGTCCTCTTCTTCTGGGAGTCCAATTACACTGTGAAAGGAAAAACATAATGTTAAGTCTGAACATTTATGCTGTCTCCCCTTTATATTGATTTTATTGAGTGGCCATTTATAAGTATTTTTGTTTAAATGAGATTAATTTTACAGTAGTGCACTGATCTCTGCGAATAGAAGCTGATGAGTGTATGTCCTCAGTGTGGTGGATAGAAATAATTTTGTGGCCAGCACCATTTTCTCAATTTTCAGCACCAGGTCTCAATTTTCTGAGTCTTTTTGTTGAAAAAGGGCTGAGTGCTTTAGAAGAAAGTTGCTGAGCTCTTGATGGTGCAACATATGTCGCTCCAGGATGATTAAAAGCAGTAAGTTTCAAAGGGGAATTGCATGCAAGGATCTTTATTCACAAGAATAGGGACTGAGAGAAGAGTGTGGGTCAAGATGAGGGTAAGGCAATAAAAGGGATATTTCATAATGCTTCAAAGCTATGTGCAGTAATTGTTGCCCAAATTTAACCAATTTATTTGCTTCACAATACAGGTTTTAAAGTCTCAATTCAGAAGTGGCATAGGACTTGAGTATCTTTATGTTTTTACCTCCAATTGCATTCTAGTTTTTCTTTACCTTTTAATAGAATATTTTAATTTATTTTTATAATTTATTTCTTTGTTGTTTAAATTCTACAAGATATTTATACTTATTAAATAATCATGCTAAGGTTTAAAACACGAATAAATTAAATAGTAGATAAACTGCCAATGATAGATGATGTTCCATACATTTTGTGTTTTAGTCTGATGCTAGTATTTGTGGGGTTGAAACACCAGTTTCTGATGAAGATTCTGGAAAAGACCATACATGAAACATTGTCAGGTTTCAGGGAAAATCAATTTTTACAGTCTGTAAAATGGAGATTTTTAATGGAAACCTGACAGGGTAAGAGAAAACACCACAGAATGCTTGGATCTGCAGTAACTCCAATGCCACTAGGGAGCAGCATCGACCTTTATTCTCACTGAGGTTGGTCCTACGAGGGTGAGGCCATGGGCCAAACACTTTAATGTAATTCATAGGTTACCTTAGTGAACTTAATGGAATTACTCCACATCTACCTACATGGATTTTAGATTGTAATTTGGCTCAACTAAAATACCTCTGGAAATGAATACATCCTCAAAACAACAGCATGGCTAGAAGGGCAAAGCAATTAAAATCTCAAGACAATTTAATTTTACTACATCTCTTTTCCATCTCTAATTCCAGCTCTTGGGAAATGATAAGTTAAATTTGCATGAAAAATTGAATTTGGCTGTTATCCCCAGAGGTACAGTGAAGGTATGGGGCAATTCCCTTGGCCACGATGGCTAAAGCCATGTGATTAGCTGTTTGAGGATCTGGACCTACATTAAATATAATACAAATAGCACTGTAGGAAGATGAGGGAGTTAATTGTTTTAAATAACAATGAAGTTTAACCTGACATTCAAATGTGTTTGGTTAGTCCCAGTTTTTTTAATGTTTGCATGAGAGCATGAACATTGCAGAATAAGCACAGACACAGGCAAAGCTAACAAAAAAAAAAGGATGCAGCCTGTCAGACAGGTAAGGTGGACAAAACCAAGAGTGGAAAGGAGAGACATTTTTAGTTACATACGCACGTAGTACTCAAAACTCTTAATAATGAATGTCTGAGTAGATGCTCTCACTTGGGTCTGGTAACGCTACCATTTCAGTGACTAAGTTTGGGAATATCTTGGATTAGTTTCACCACCTGCCAAAGGTTCAGGCCTGGTCTTGAGAAACGCCGAGTACTTTCCACTCCCATTGATCACAATGGGAGACAAGTCTGCTCAAACCATTGCAGCATTTAACCTGAAATTTAGGAGGCTATCCCGAATGTTGACGGTGTCCTGGAAAAGCAGGGAATTATTCTGGGCCACCTCTGAGGGATTTACCCTCAAACACGGTGGAATTTTACCTGACGTAAATTAGAACGCACATGTAAAGCAAAGGCAGACCACAGTCCCATTGCCTGAAAGAATGCATCAAAATCCCGAAACTACTTTCTGTCCAAATTAGTCTGCAGAATGAGTCACTACTGTAGAAAGAAGCAATCCTCCTACAAGAAGAGCTATGCCTAACTGTAGGGGGTTCTCCAGCTGTGAAAACACAAAATAAACACTATTTAGCATAACCCTTCCAAGAAGCCAAGAAAGAAACTTCTGAACTATTTAAGCAGAACTGCACAAAGGAAGCAAAATCAAACTTTCTCTTTAAGTAGATGTGTAATAAGGAATTTCTTCTAAAATTAGCATGGTATTTTCTCTTTTTGATGAATTCTTTTCTGCACAGGTAATCTCGTCCCCTAGGGATGGAAAGATCCCCGTCGGAGGCTGCCACTAGCAGCTATGCATTTAAACCTGGCCCAGTTAATTTTGGTATTTTCCCCTTAAATGTCATAAATGACTCAAAATCCTTAAATAAAATCACAGCTATGACTTTTCTAATTATAAAATATGTTGCATGCATCAAAACTGTCTTCATTTCATAAAACAGAATATTGTAGGACTAAAGGATTAGCTTTGGCAGAGGAAGAAAAAGTAAACTTTAACGACTGATTTTTCTGGATTGGGCAGGAAGAGCTATTCAGCGCATGACAAATTAACCACGCAAGTGAGTCACATACACTGGTATGGTATGCAGGAAAGGGAAGTCAACTGTGTGAAATCAAGACCTGCAATTTAGGAACCTCCTATTAAATAATAAAAATGCTTAGAAACAGATCTGTTATGATTTGAGAACTGGAAAGATGGTAAAACCGAGAAATTCATTATTGGTTCTGTTTGAGCTCTTCTCCTTAGAAATTTTACTGTCTTCTCCTTGGAATATCTTCAAGAGAATAATAATTCAGGCTTCTCTATCTGCTATCTGTTTCTTATTTCACCCAGATCCCCAGGTCCCTGCAGCCTGTCCATACACAAAGGGAAGACAGAGGTGCAGAGGAAAATGATTCTTCAGCCTCTGGAATGGGACCAGCCATATGTGGCTTTGGTTTCCTAACTACATGGTACATACATCAGATCTTAAATTTACATGGTTCTTATAAATTCAGAAACATTCCTTGTTCTGAAGAGCTTTTACAAGAATAAGTGGTATAATCCTACTTCATTATCATACCAGTAATATCAGTAACTTACTTATTTTATTTCATAAGAGAATTATTCTACCTCAGAGTGCTTAGAGCCTCCCCACCTCCTCAACATATTTGATATATCTGAAGAAGAAATACACAAACTCCTAGAATTGTAAAATGGTTTTTAAATAAAGTCAATCAGTACATCTCCAACAAAGCATATGTTGAAATGCTCGTATTCCTTCGGTTCTCACAGTTACTTTTCTGAGCAAAATATGGACTGTTAAACAATTCAACATGATACATTGTATATTTTAAAAGCAAAAATATTTTCTTACGTGCAGAAGTCTTTTCTGCAAAGAAGCTGTTGGTAATCATCTTAGAGACTTCAGTTTAATAACAATTTAAAAGTATTCTAATGTTGTCTTTGGGATTACTGAAAAAATACAACCTCTGCATTTGTTTACATGAAGAAAATCTCTTTGATCGGTCTGTTTAGGAATATGCATGAATGGCCCGTGGACAATATGTTTAAGAGATTTAAAAAGCCCGAAACAGAAGTCCCTCATAACTTCCTGATGATGGCTGTTACTCTGCAGAACTATATTCCATGTTGCTTCCTCCTCCCACTCTGACACAAAATACACGGAAATATCATGTTGCATATGGTAGCAATAGGAAATATGTTTTAGGAATACTTTGTTCTAGTTACGTTATTGCATAAAAACATGGCAAAGAAAACTCACAGCGTTTCAGTGTTAAAACAGATACTGACATAATGCAACTAGTTATTACTTACTCAAAGATTTTTCCTAGCTGATCAACATCTGAATTTCCACGGAAGAGTGGTCTGAAAGAATAAAGAAATATTTTTAGGATGTGGCTTGCTTTAATTGATGTGAATTTATATGTCAGTGACAGCTGCCAACATAGGGTGAAAATGTGTTATTTTTTTTGACACCTCACTTCTTCTTCCTCCATGTCTTACCCAGTCTGTGAGTGTACCTTTCAAGTTACTACTAAAACTGATGAAAAAGTGGACAGATGAGACATATTCTTGAATACTTCTGGAAATTTAATTGTGTCCTTTAACATGAATAAAATTAATTTTAAACAAAACATTTTTCATTATAAATAGCATACCTAAATAGCTGTTTAGAGAGACAAAAAAGGAGTGAATGTCATGCAATTCATCAAAACACAATAAAATTATAGATGATTTATTATGGATATAAATGCAAAATTAAACTTATTGTATATTGTGTATTGGAAACATACTCCTAGGTTTAAGAGGTCAAATAAATGACAATGGATTTATGAAGGTCTGTAAAGAATGGGGTGTGAAACGGTACAGAATTTACCTTGAAGGAGAAGAATACTTCTGCTGCATAAATATGTTCAGGAAAGAAACAAATTAATAGGCTGAATGTCCAAAGGCTTTCAGAAAAAAACAGCGAGAGTGGTACATGCTTTTCCTTTTCAAAGTGCAATTTAAAATATATTCACTCATCATTTATAAAATACTATCTCCCCATAGTGCCTAAGGAAAATATGAAATTCAGATTTGTATGGCTGTGTTGCTATTTTTGTGTTGAATTCACTAAGGTGTGATCAACAGTGCAATTTTATCTTTAAACTCCCAAGACATTCCAACAGATTACTGACAGGTGATTAAGGATCCAGCCAAGGATGAGGGTATCTGTGAAGATCAGGTCCCAGATGTGCATACCAGGAAACACAATTCCGACACACTGCAAACTGAGATACTAACTTAGGTCAACTGATAGCCAGGCTGCCCCTCTCTTCCCGCAGCACAGCTCTTGGGGTACAGTGCAGGCTGTAACTTAGGGTTACAGTTTCCAAAACTGCTCAGCTGAGACCTGGTGACTTGACAAACCATGAGTATGCCTATGTTTTCACTGTCAGCCTTTGGTTATGGCAAAATGCCAGTTCTCCTGCCTCTCTCTGCATACGCCTTTTCTTCTGTCTCATGCAGGTCCTTAACAGCAGTGGTAGCCAAAGACATCATTTCACTGTTGCTCTTCATAGGAGAATACCTCTCCCATCTACACTGGGAAAACAAGGAGTTCTCAGCTTTAGTCCTTCCTCTCTCATTGTCCACATGCAGGAGCAGGTGTAGGATCTGGTTGTCCTTTTGCTAACCCTGAGTTAGTTCTGGAAAATGGTGCTTTACCTCTTAACACTCTCACAGGGACAACAGAGCTTTATGTCGCTGCCAATCTTGTGGGTCCACACCAAATGCAGTAAGTAGACCCAGAGCATTGTGACATTTCTCAGTTAGACATAATGATCTCTGCAGAAATCTGTGTCATGAAGAAAAAGAGCAGTAATGGGAAGACGTGCTGGCCATCTTTCACGATATAAACATGCATTCTGTCTCCTTCACATTTACTGCCACTCAGGTCATGTCGTATCAACCTACAGTGCAAAATGCTTTGCACAGGGACATTGAGAGAACAATTTCATCAAGTTTGATTTGAAACTATATGACATCAGATTGAAACTGATGGAATAAAATGCCTGTTACTTGTCCATAATAGGAGTTATTTATTCTGACTCTTAAGAAATCATAAATTGTGGCACGTGCTGCTTTCTAGATATACATGACATTTACTAACTGCAGCCTCTTTGATGGGACCATTTCAATCCATACTTAGATGTTTCTGAAATTTTTTAAGCTGAGGTGTCCAGCAACACTGGCTTCTACAAAACAACCAAAGCTTAACTTCACTCAGACAGGAGCATCTAATTCTGCTCTAAGTTTTGACACTGATTTTCAAAATGGTCAGTAGCTGCAATCCTAATATTTTTTGTGGCAATAGACAGACTCTGTATCTTCCCAAGTCAGACAATATGACAACCTGAGACTTTTTTTTGGAATGATTGCTTAAAATTATTAATATACGGTTAATTGAGTATTTCACTTTGGCTCCAGCATTAGAATATTGGGGCTCTGTAAGTTAACAAACTCTACACAATCAAATAATCCTATCCATGCAAGTGGCAAGCTGATTCAATGTTTTTAAATGTATGCTGAACCTTGCGCTAATGTGAAAGCTTGGCAAAGTCAGCCTTGTTTGCAAATCACCTTAGGCAGTGTCATGCCAAAACAAGTATGATTCTTGGGATTTTTAAGGGAGGTTTTTCCCATCATTGCTGCTGTCTCAGATTCACTAAGGGCTGTAGCAAGAATTTAAATTCTTTTGAATATATAATTATACAACACAAGGTGACCTTCCAACACACTTTGATATTTCATCATAATGAAGTGTTCTTAATTCATCTTTCAGCCTCCTATCCATCCCACCATCATGAGCACAACAGAATGCCAACTCCAGGTTAGGCAGCACTAACATAATGAAATTTGCCTCATGAATTTTGGCTGGAGGTTCAATTGGAATATCGGATGGATGATTGGGGAAGTAGATCCACTTAATCAGCAGACGTATGAAGATCTCGTCTCACATTTTGGCATGTTACTCTTTAGTAATGACTTGCCAGCACTGTAAGTCCAGTACACACAAAAACTTTCACCTCAAGCTGATTGTTTTTTTAAATTCTATTCTTAAAGATGAACATTAGCTCTCCCAGTACCACTGAACTGGGAGCATACTCGGCAGCCACAGAAATGTTACATTTTACCTTTGTTCTTGGTATCTTTCACTTGACTCACTCACCCACTCACTCCCCGAGGTTTACTTATGCAAGCTCAATCCAGAAGTCCTTACTTGGGGATATGTTCTCTCTGTGACAATAATCTGTATAAGACTAGTTAAACTCTGAGAGTCTGATTTTGTAGAATTCCTTCTTTTTCCTCGGGAAAGTCATGCAGCTGAGTTTGTCTCATGGCAAAGGATATGTCTGTCCTTTGACTTCAAGGAACTCCTAAAATCTGTGTGTACTCATGTCTCGGGAAAGAGGGATATTCCAGTGGAGGAAAGGGCTATCCATGGCAATACACTTGCATTTTGTGTGGTTCCTGGATTGTCTCAACCTTCCATGACTTTGCTTGTTAAAAAATCTATGCTCTGAGGGCTCCACCACCATCATTGTTACAAAACACACACTTGAGTAGGGAAGAAGATGGGATGAAAAGACTTACAGGACACTGAAGACATGTAATTTCCCTATTTGCTCAAGAAGTCTCAGACATTGTTATGTCCCCATAATTTCCAATTTTTGCTGGCTATTGCTTCTTTGATTTTTTGGGGAGAGGGGAGAAGAGAAACATTACAAGGAATCTGCAGGTGTCCATCTTGTTTGACCACTCCTTCTCCAGACCTTGGAGCTAGACCGTTATCCATTGCCTCTGGCATGGGGCCCACTGAATGGAGGAAAACTCCTTTCATGTCTAATGTAGGACTAGAATGCCCTCAACCTACAGATATGAAAATCAGTTGGAGGCACCATATTACTACCCTGTCCTGCTAAAATAAACTCTACTGAGTCAATAAGCATGCACCTTAGTTCCTGAGGTACAAAATATGCAGCTGGACATCTAAAGGGATATTAGCTATGAGTCTGCATTGTGACTATTTTCAGAGAAAAAAATCTACCTTTTTATACACAGTCCAACACAATGATGCATATAACTCCTGGGCTGCATGAGGAACAGTGTTGCCAGCACGTCGAGGGAGATGATCCTTCCCCTCTGCTCAGCACTGATGAGGCCACACCTGGAGTGCTGGGCTCTTTTCTGAGTTCCCCAGTACAAGAAAGACACGGCCATACTGGAGAGAGACCAGCAAAGGGCCACAAAGATGATTAAGGGACTGGAGCTACTGACATACGAGGAAAGGCTGAGAGAGCTGGGACTGTTTAGACTGGAGAAGACTTAGGAGGATCTTCTTAATATATATAATTACCTAAAGGAGAGTGCAAAGATGGAACCAGGCTCTTTTCAGTGGTTCTCAGTGACAGGACAAGAGGCAATGGGCACAAATGGAAAGCACAGGAGGTTCTCTCTGAACATAAGGAAATGCTTTTTTACTGTGAGGGTGATCGAGCACCTACACAGGTTGCCCAAAGAGGTTGTGGAGCCTCCCACCTTGGAGATATTCAAAAGCCATCTGGACATCGTCCTGGGCAACCAATTCTAGGTGGTCCTGCTTGAGCAGGGGGGCATTGAACCAAACGATCTCCAGAGGTGCCTTCCAACCTCAACCTTTCTGTGATTCTGTGATAATACATAAATAAAAATACAGATCATGACATAAGGTTGCAATGTAAAAACTCACAAATCCTGAAAAAGTTACCATCTGCTTATAGTTTAGAAGGACTTGCACCACTGATTTTCTGGCCGAAAGGCTCTCCTGCTTACATGTAGCTGAACAAATTAGATTTCACCATTCACCAACTTTAGGCTCTTTTCTCTTGTCCAAATGAATATACTCAGTTCGTGTGGTTGTTTCATGCTGTGTTTCAACTTCATTGAATATTCTATCTATCTGAACTGGATATTTGTGCCTCAAAGGTCGAGTACTTTATTTTATAGACACTGTGATTCATGTCTGTGCTACTCAGTAAAAACTGAGATATAAACAATTCCTAAGCAAGTCTCCATGAAAAAATTTTCCCCGGTTCAATTCCATGGACATGCCAAGGCAATTCTAAAAGTATTGTATACAATGACAGTGCAACAACACCCAAGAGATAAATGAGGTTTAATTGTAAACTGGCCACATTATTTCTAGACTTGACTTTGAGCCTTTGGTCTACAAAGCAAAGAGGGTCTGTAACTTTTCACTAGAAAAGTTAGAATTTTCATAAAGATTGGAATTAAAGATACTGATAAGCACTGCTCTAGTCCACCCTGCAGTGCAGACACAA